TTTTTTTTTTTTGTTTTTCCTCTCTATGTATATGTTTATTTTTCTCTGGTTCTGTCTCTCTCCTTCTCGCTCTCGCTCCCTGCAGCTGCTGCTTCTTCTTGTTTGTCTCTCTGTCTGCTGCATGTATCCCGTTGTCTCTCTTTTTTCTCTCTCTTTTTATTTCTCTTTTTCTTTTTTTCTTTTTCTCTTTTGAGTTAGAGTTGTTTATGCGAGATGTGTGGCTTGTGTTGCTCCCTTTTGTGTTTGTTGTTATGTTGCTGTGTTTTTTGTTTGTTTTTTTGTTTGTTTCCGTTTCATGTTTGTGCATTTGTATTATTTATTTATATTTGTTTATTTGTTTGTATTTTCATGTTTAGGCAGCAGCAACAACAGCAGCAACCTGCTGCTTTCTCTGCAGCAACGAATCAACTGCTCCTTCGCCTGCATCTTCATGGGTGGATGTACACCTGAAAGAGGGGGGAGAAGAAGGAGAAGAGAAACAGCTGTTAGTATCTGATGAAGCTTTATCTCGGTTAACAACAAAACAAATAAATGATATGGTTGAAGATAGATTGAAAGATGAATTAGATAGACCACCTGCGGTGTCTAGACAGGAAACATGGAGTGTAGAGAAAGGTATTGTATCTTTTAGTACATTTATAACAACAAAAATAAATAATAATAATATAAATGATTCTATACCTCAACCTCTTACTGCATATCTTCCTCCTTCTCCTCTTTTTACTTTTGACGGAAAAATAGGAATGGAGTGTAAAGCATTTAAAATAAATTTTTGTGATAAAGCAGCAAATATCATTCCTCCTTTCTTCTTAAGAAAAGGAGAATCAATGACAGAACAACAACAACAAGTTATGGATAGTGGTGTTTCAAACGCAAAAGAAATAGATCTATTCGGCCCCCAAGACCTTGACTTTATAAACCAAGAGCTCAGCGCAGCGCACAAGGATTTATATGCAGCATAAAAAAAACAAACAATATAAAAACAACAAACATAACTATTACAAACCATACACAACAACAATAACAATAAACACAACAACAGCAGTCAAGGATATCCGCAGTGTTATCTTGCTCTGCAGCAGCATATAAAGGCGGGAAGTTGTCTATATAAAAGTTTACAGCTTGCCCCCGCAACCCCCAGTATCCCTCAGTTGGCAGATGCCTAGCTAGCTGGCAAGCCAGCAAGTCATCACATAGCTAGCTAGCTAGCTAGCTAGCTAGCTAGATGGCTCTAGCTGGCTAGATAGCTATCGAAAACGCACGGTCGCAGCTGCGCGTTCACCGTGTGCATTTTTCCGATATGTAAAACTCCGAAGGTTTTAAGTCGAAGGTTTCCTTTAGTGTTTAGGGTTTAGGGTTTAGGGTTTAGGGTTTAGGGTTTAGATCTAGAATATGTTGGTAAGCAGCCTCAAGGGACAAGTCAGACGAATGTTTTGAAATCCTCATTCCCTCAGTTCTTTTTTGTTTCAAGATCAAGTGCTTTTTGCTGCTGTTGTTTGCGTTTCT